GGTTGCATCTTGGAAGGCCATCAGGGAGAGAAAACATGGTCCTACTTGACATCTACATTATCTTGTTCACAACCCATCTGGTCATCATTCCAGCAACGGGCAGGACCAGAGCCAAATGTGGGTGGCGATGTCACTTCCCTTTCCTCTCTTGTGCGTGGTTCCCTCCACCAGCCTCGCCAGTAGGTCGGTGGAGAGGGGGGGAAGGCCTGGCTGTCTACAAGGTCCCCCACCTTTAATTTACATAAAGGCATGATGATACGGGCAGGTTTATTACCAACCCTTTCCATGATAGGTAGAGCCTGGGGGTTCACGATTGGTTAGTACAGGTATGGGAAACCCAATCTGGTCCTTCCTCTGTTCCATCCCTTTTGCCCTTCCCTGTGCAGAGGCAGGCCCGAAACCTCGAGTTGGATCTTGCAATGGCAAGTCATCCTTTCCTCCTGGAGAGGGGAGCAGATCCCACCTGGCCCAGGCATCCATCAGTCCTCTGCCCCCTGGGTCCTTACCTGAGGCCCCCTGAGGCTCTCATCATCCGCCAGATAGCCAGAGTATCTGCGAGTCACCATGGTGCTGAAAGGACAGCGCCTGCCCCCTCCTCCTCCTCCTCCTCCTCCTCCTCCTCCTCCTCCTCTTTCCGCATGCACAGGAAGTGGCTGTTGTGGTAGGTGTTCCTTTTACATGGAGGGCAGCCAAGAAGAGAGCATGGAGGTACCACCTGCCTGATGGTAACTGAGCAAAGCTTCTTCCCAAGAGTGTGGATTGTGTGGATTCCTTCCTGGAGGAAAGATCTAAGAGAAAACATGGTTGGTGAGAAATGTACATAGATATTATCATTGGAGGGAGGGGAGGGGAGGGGAGGGAGGGAGGGAGAGTGCTTTGAAGAAGGTAGGAACAAGGAAGGAAAGAAAGAGCAAAGAGAAAAGCATACCAGGTAATAGCTTAAAAATCATGGGGTGGGGGGGCAAGGTTAACCCAGTATGCAAGGCAAAGAGCTTCTTTATACTCTTGTGATGTTGTTTTTCCTTTTAAGATCCCATTTTCATGAGGACTAGAAACTCTGAAAGTCGAGACAAAATTCTAAGAACAGACTCAGTGCAGACTTAGCTAGAGTACAGCCTGGCAAGCAAATACCCCCATGTGTGTGGAAATCACTCCTGTTACAGCTGGCCTGGAGCAACCCAGGTGGCCAGACCATCCTGTCCCTGTCTTACCTGAGTCCAAGAAACAGATACCTCCTTTTGCAATTCCGTGCGGGTCTCTGCTGGAGCGAGAGGCCAGGTCAGCTGATGCTGGCACTGCAATGGCGGAGGGCATCTCTAGGCCACCCCAGTCCATTTGGCAGTCAACAGTTCGGATGCCTGAACAGGAGGAATCTCCCAGAATCCACCTGGGGAGCATCCATTGCTGGACAGTCAGCACACACACAAATAAGAGGACCCTCAGAAATCTCCACCCAAGGAAGAGGGGAGGGATCAGAGGAGTGCTGGAAAAGAGGGATGGGAGGCTGTCCTTTTCCTGCTCAGTGCCTGGGATTGAGTCCTGCTGGGAACACGGGAGTCCAGGAGAAATGGCCCAAGGTTTCTCTGCTCTGGGGGCCCAGGGCAGGCAGGAAACGCCACAAGGGGCTGTGTTAGCCAGATGGCGTTTCCCCCTTTCATTTGCCCTTTGCTACTTTGACCTGATCTGCTCCAAAACCTAACCAAGCTTTCCCCCATTCTGTACTTTGTCCCAAATCCTTAACCTTGTTTTCAGCAAAGGAAGAAAATAGGGTTGTGTACTTGGGGGGCTTGAAAAGGGAGGGGCATTTCACAAGAGGCAGGTCTTCCTCTGTGGTTTCAGCAGCCAGGTTGGTGCAAAGTGCAACCTGAAAAGTAGCTGAGCTCCCCTGAGGATGTGGGTGGGTGGCAAAGAAGCCCAGGAAGCAGGGGCGTCCTTAGCCAGTTGTCCTCTTGGGAATGGAGGAGGCTGGGTTTGATCAGTTCTTGGTGGTGGCCGCTGAACTGGTAGAAGCTGACCTGCTGCTCCAGACTTCATGCCCTCCAACGGGATTGTTTACAGGTGCCGGAGCATTACAACTGCCCAACTAGATGGTCTGTCTTAAAAACTACAACTCACAATTGGGCGGTGGAAGGGTGAGAATCGCTCTTTCAGAATGTCTCATCCAGGATCCTAATCCATGAGCTTTCTGAAATGGAGAGTTCTGCCAATGTGAGAAAGGAATTTGGCCCCCAAGGTCCAAGTAGAAACCAAAGAACACACAGAACTCAGAAAGACCCTTCCATTGCCATTGTTGGGTAGGCGATTCTGTTTGTTTGTCCACGTGATTCCATTAATTTACATAGGATGTTCCATAGGATGCCTTTAATTTGCATAGGACATTCCATTCACACAATATTGACTGAAAGGAGGACTTCCGCTAAATCGGGTCAAATTGGTTGTAGGCCATGGCACCCTGAGTGGCCATGGCACTAACCTTTTCAGCTTGGCTGGGGCAGATGTGACACCTGCCACCCCCATCTGCATCACCTCTTCCTCTGAATGTCGAGTTCCATCTTCCTTAGAGAAACAGGGACCTGCTTGCAGTGGACCTGTATCAATGTCCGCACATTCTCTGCCTCCCTTTGCCTGCCCCTGGACATCCACAAGGCAAGGGCAGTTTCTGCCCCTTTGGAACCAGAATTTCCTGCCTGCCCGAATATACTTTCCTTACCTGCAAAAGCAAAGCTATTGGAAGAATGTCGCTTGGCTGCATGCTTGCGGTGAATGGTCTGTAATTCTTTCTTTAGAAAACAACAGCCTGATGAATTATCCTTAAAAAAACAAAACAAAAGAAGCCTTGTCTATTCTAATTCAGCATGTTCTGGACAACATTCCAACCTGTGCAAAGAAGAGCAGGTTCTTCTGCTGAGGAGGTGAAGTAGAGGATAGCTCCTAGTGAGCAGGACCGGGCTGGGCAGCTGCCAAGGGACCCCAGCAGGGGCTGAGTAAGCTGCTCCTTCTCCTGCCCCTGCAGTGGGAAACCTACCCAGTTCCTGGCTGCTTCTTGCCACGCAGCCAAACTGCAGCGCTGACCCGAGAGGCGAGGGGATGAAGGTCTTTTGTGCAAGGGCCCACCGGCCTCTGGTGCTGCCCCCTTGGCAGGGAGTCTATTTGCTTGGGCTAGGATCAGTTTTTCCATCCTGCAGCATCTTTGATGGCTCCGCTTTAGAGGAGCGTAAGAGGAATTTGATCTCCTAAGAACACAGAAGATCCATCTCACGCATCTCCCTCTGCTTCACATGGAGGCCAACCTTTGCTTCTGCGAGCCAAGCCAACTCGGGGCCAAGGTACCTTTGTGACACTTTAAAAACAAACACACTTATTGCGACATAAGCATTCCGGCACAAGGGCCCACTTCTTCAGATGCATGAAATGCAATGCTGAATTGCAAGGATCGTTGGTGGGGAGGAATTGCAAGCCATGAGGCCAGAGGGAAGTGGAGCGCAGAAAGGACTGCTGACGGGTAGCCGTGCTCTTAGCGGCAAGTAATCACAAAACTGTCATTGCTGATTAACACAAACATCCTGGTGTCGGACAAGCCAATTAACACAGGGAATGTTCTAAAAAACCACAACACATTCTTTATCTTGATTCAGACCACAGTAGGTAGAGCTGAGCCTCTTGAGGGATGGCTCGCTTTGTTGCAATGTGCAAAAAACATTTTTTTAAAAAGATGAAGGAAAAGGACGGCTGGATGTCAGCTTCTTACACCAGACATAAAGTTCTGATCTTCCAGGTTTTCTTGGCTACGGACCTAAAAATACTCAACAGGAAGTAAGCCTCATTAATCATGGTGGGGCTAAAGCAGTCCTAGGCTCTGGGCAGGTATTTCAGACCAGGGCAGGTACCCTTTTGTACAAGAACAGCAATTCAAAATCAAATGTAGGGTGATGGCCAAAGGGCCCTGACTCTGGGTTTACTTCCTCTGCCTGTGGCTACTCCTAAGTGTCCAGTGATACCAATGGAAAGATATTTTTTTTTGAGGGTGCCATTATATGCCGGTTTAGATAGAAAAAAGTCCTGCAACTTGTGGCTGCGGAATGCAAAGAGTTCCAGGACTTTTTAAAAGCTTGCATACAAGAGCACCGCTTCATCACCTTAACTGCCATGGGGGAGATTTTGGGGAGCAACTGAAGCTAGAGAAAGAAGTCCCGTTTCCACATACTGCAGTGCCCCTCCCGCAACCCTCTTGGTGACAAAGCCATTTAAAAAGACCCTCCTGGTGATAGGTGCAAGCTTTTTCCTAAGTTTCGCCACCATGGTGGAGAGGGAGGAATTTCCAAGGGATCCCAGGTGGGGAGGGAAAGGGCAAACCGTTCTTTCGTGGACACTGTGTCTCCCAGATCCCATTTCTATATGGGAATTAGACTGCGGGGTGGGGGGGGGGGAGGGTTGACCCCTTGGGGCAGAAACCCCAGAAGCGTCAGGCTCAGAAGCGGTGGCACAGCGCCCCCTGGTGCCTGCACGGATCCCAGCCTGCGGAGGGTAACTCAGGACGGCCCTATAAAAGGCTTCCCTGCGCTCCGCAGGCTGGCTATCCTTGGGCAGGCAGACGGCGGGGGGGGGGGGCAGATCCGTAGCCCCGGGCTCAGCAAGGCCCCTGCGGGGGGTGCAGGTGGCGCCCGAGAGGCAGCGCCTCCAATGGGCGTCTGGGGGTCCGGGCCCTTTGGGGCAGCCCCTCACTCCGCCTCTGCAGGGGCCCGCACGCCTGCAGGTCCAGAGGCTGCCGGCCGTGGCGTGGGGCGCTCCCGAGCCGAGCCGAGCCCCGCCTTGCAGCCGGAGCCCCCGCGGGGCGCCGTCGGGGCGATGCCACCGCGTGGGGCGAGCGGCGCCTCGGAGCAACGAGCGCGCGCGCGCCCGCGGCGCAGTGTCCCCCTCGCGCCACAGGGGGGCGCGCGCGCCCTACCTGCGCTCGCCCGGGCCGCACATGACCGCGCCTCCTCCCCTTCCGCGCTGGGTTGCGCGAGCGTCGCTCGCTGCCGGAGCCACTGGGCGATGCTGCCGCCGCCGCCGCCGCCGCCGCCGCCGCCGCCGCGAGGCTTCCGCGATGGGTGAGTGCAGGGGCCCTTCGCTGCTCGGGGGGCGCCCCGCGGGCCCCGCGCTGGGCTGGGGCGCCGCGGGGGCGCGGGCGCCGGTGCGGCTCCGCAGCCCGCCGGATCGCTCGGCGGCCCTGCCCGGGCCGGCCTCTGGGGAGGGGTCGCGGCGAGGCAGATGCGGCGCTTTCCGGGGGGCAGCAGCGCACCCCGGGCCCCGTCCGGCCGCGGCCCGGGGCGCCCGCCGAGCTGCGAGCCAAGCCGCCCGGGCGCAGTAGGCCTTACTTCCGAGTAAACGCGCTGCTTTTAGCGGTGTTTCAATGGATCTGGATGATTATTATGCGCACATGTGATTTGCGACCGAGTCTCCCGGCGTGCCGTTTTGCTTGCTGGAACGGCGGGATACAAATACCGTAAAAGAATAAATGAGAGGCAGTGAGGTATAATGGTTGCAGAGTTGGACCGGGTCTCAGGAGACCTGGTTCTAGTCCCCTTTCTGCCCTGAAGCTCAGTGGGTGCCCTGGGGCAAGCCACAAACTCTCAGGTTAGCCTACCTCGCAGGGTTGTAAGGGAGAGCAGGAAAATCTTGCTAGCCCTCTTGGGTACCTCGCAAGAGAGAGGAAGGTGGGGTATAAATGCAATTGTGTAACTATCTGATATAAAAGAAGCACCCTATTTCTTCATTTAATTTCCAAGTCCTTGCCTAGCTCATTTTTTTTTTTTTTTAATTTGTTCCATGAGTTACCGTGTAGCAATTTGCTGCTGGGAAACAAAGACCAGCCTGGTGAAATTTATGGCAGTTTTATTTACTTTGTGGATTAGAGCTTACTTTGTCAGAAAGAGAGAGAGCGCTCTTGTTTTTAATGGCAAACGTCATTCATTTTAAACTAGAAAAAGCATCTCCTGTCCTAAATTGCTTGAAATCCAGTTTTAAATGTTTGACTTATCCTTTGAAAAACAGCCCTCAAACCAATATGCCACCTTCACTTTATGTGGTACTCAAATATCGCCGAAGTCTTTCCATTTGCTAAGGGAGCTCCTTGCATCCTTGTTGGACTGAAAAGCTCCCTCCGGTCACCAGCCTTGCGCAAGATCCCAGGGTCAAAGTCTTTTTAAAATGCTGGGGAAGAATAAAGACCGTAAGCATTTCTGATGTGGGTTCATTGTTCCATTCAAACTCATTCAGAGCTCCTTTCTATGAAAATTGTTATTGGGATATTTATACACGGAAGGGCTGTGCTTCAAATGGCATCAGTGGTACCCTAACCCGTGGATGGGCCGCTTGTTCATCAAAACATCTTGAGGGCTACGACTCCCATCATCCCTCGCTGTTGGCTCTGTTGAGGCAGCAGAGCTGTAGGCCAAAACCTCTGGCGGGCCATAAGTTGCCCACCTGGGTATGAACCTTAGAGGACAGCTGTCAAGCAAAACCGGCTTTGCACCGCGGTATTTCCTGGGTTCCTTGCATGGGGCTTGTGCCAGTGCTTTGCTCCAGGAAGCCAACTGTGGCTTCCTGGAGCAATTTGCTAGGATCAGGAAGTAGTTTTTAAGACACACCAGGAAAAACTGTTCTGTGCTGCTCTCTTTTGCACCATAGTACTCTGCTTAGTTGTGGTTTTGTGGTTGGGTTGGGCACTGGGCTTTTGGCTGGCTGTTCTAAGCAGTTGGGATGTCAGTCTTGCCCAGAGGACAAACAAGAAGCTCGGTCAGTCGGGTGGGTTTATTGGATCTGCCTTCTACGGCTGCTCCAGTCCCTCTTCACTCCACATCATCCTATTCGGTATAGATTTCTGACGCTTTGTGTGGCTTTTCAGGGCTGGAGGGGCTGCCATGGGGTGAAGGCAATTGAATGCACTAAGCCTATATCCAACTTCATTTCCTCTAAAAGTAGACCATGACTGGGTTTGGACATTGAATCCACACTCAAGTGTTGCACCTGGCTTGAAAAGTGGGTTGATGTGAACCATGCAAGTGATGAACTACCTGTGATGAGAACCCACGGTCTGTTGTTGGTTTGTAAACTGTGGCTTGTTCAGCATGATTTTTCATCTCAGTTTGCTTCAGGCAACACAGCAAGCCACATGTCAACAACAGTCCTCAGTTTGACGACAACAACCCATTTCCAGCTCTTGTGTGTGGGCTTTTTTTTTTATTGACTGATCCAATCAGGGGATTGGATCCAGATTTGGTTATGCATCATTAAACTCATAGTGGCTTAATTAAGTCATGATTACTTAGCAAGTTAATCGGTTTTTATCTTCTGGGGGGCATCAGGTTGAAGAAGGCCGCCAGGGGAGCAAACCTCTACCAACTTTGTTTTAAATGCTGGGATTGTTTTGCTCTATTTTAACAAAACAATCGGTGTTTTGTTCTGTCTTTGGTGAGCTGCTTTGAAAACTGTGATTAAAAACACATAGTCCAAAGACCTTTATGTTGCTAGTTTTAATCTTCCTATTTCCTTAACCTGCCCAGATGACTTTCAAAAGAAGCAGGTAGGTAAGTCCATCCACACCCCCAGAAGGTGAGATTGCTGTTTATCTTCATTAGAGATATAGCTCACTTCTTCATTAATTGGCCTATTTCAGCCTTTAATCTGCTTTAAAAACTTTTAAACTCACAAGAACCATCCATCCATCTCTGTGCTAGAACCAGGTTCAGCAAAGGCTGTGAATACAATTCCTTTTGTCCTTTTGATGGATGATACCCCTGGCTTCTTGTATGTTTATCCCATACACACATTTATCCATAAAACCTGCCCAACCACCAGCAATTTCTTGAATTCAGAAGAAGAGAGGAGGAGGGGAAAGCCCAGTAAAATGTTACCGACCTGTTTTGAACCTCAGGAGTGGAAGTAGATTAGAACAGGCTTGCTTCATTTCAAAGTTCAGTGAGAGTCTGACGGTGGGGTAGAAAGATTTGATCTCTTTTGCAAAGCGTGGTGAGATGAGGGGTGGGCTAAGTGGGGAGAGAGAACACGTCTGGGTATTGAGAAGGTAATGTGATTGAATGCCAGGCAACCTGTGAGCTGGTTGTGACCTTCCTAGTTGTGTTTATGGCCCAGTTTCCATGCTGTTTGAACCCCCGGAAAGTGACTGCTGTTCATCTGTATGGGCAGGGCTGGATGAGGCAGACCTGTGACCCGAGTGCCACTTCCGAGACTCCTGGGCTTACTGTGCAATCAAGTCCAGCTAATTTCCAGAGAACTGTCCTTCTGTCCTGCTTTACTTTTCCGATCAAAGGGAATCACTGCCAGTTAATTTTGAGAAGGATCCAGTGCAGAAGTGGCTGATGAGATTGTGAAAGTCTCTTGCACAAGCAAAGACATGCCTTTCACAGAAGAAGGACTTTCTGAGGGCTTCCAACTTCCATCCCCCACTGTAGCAGCAGCCAAGCCCCCCTCCACCCCCGCCCGCCTGCTGCCCGATCCCACGTCATGCTCCAGGGAGAGGGCAAAAGGCCGAACCAGGAAGGAGTTGGGAGAAAAGCTTGCTCTGCGGATGAAACTGTTTGCCATTGTGGGTCGCACGACCCACAGCTAGGGCAAAGACCCTCTTTCAGCCCAAGGGCTGCGCACCAACGCTGGGTGAGCGCCAGTGTGGTGCAGTGGTTAAGAGCGTGGGTCTGGGACTCAGACGATGTGGGTTCGAGTCCCCGCTCAGCCATGGTGCCAACTGGGTGACTCTGGGCCAGTCACAGACTCTCAGCCCAACCTACTTCACAGGGTTGTTGTTGTGGGGATAAGATGGAGGAGGAGAATGATGTAAGCTCCCTTGAGCCCTTTGTAGGAAAAAGGCAGGCTATAAATCCAAAAATAAATAAATAAATAAAATAAAGGCTAAAGGGGAAAGACCAAAATCCTCCAGTGCCAGCATATTTTAGCTGAATGCTGTTGATTGACTGGGGGGGGGGGGAACTGGGCAAAAGCTGAGAAGCCACAGAGGGCTTTGGGGCCGAAGCAAAAGTGGGAGGGGTAGGGAAGGGGGTGTGGCCACTTGAGGAGGGGAACCTGCTTGTGGGTGGGGAGGAAAACAGCGTGTGTCCCCCCTTTCCAAATCTGAAAGTGATTCCAGGTTGTGGGGAAGAAAATAGGAATCGAGTGGAGGATGAGGCATTGTAGGTGTCTGAGCAGGTTCCTCCAACCTGGCACCCTCTGGATGTGGTGAACTCCAAGCCCCATCATCCTCAACTAGCCCAACTGCACTGGGGAGGGTGATGGGAACTGTATTCCAGCCCAGGGTGGGGAAGCCTGGATTGGACCAGCACTGGGCTGGCGCAGCTCCGAATTCCCCCTCGGCCATCCAGCGCATCCCCCCTCTGGCTAATGACCCCGCAGGGTTGTTGTGAGGCTAAAACGATGACGTGGGGGAAGCACCACAAGGAGCAGCTCCTGGAAATGCTGTCATACAAGTAACTGTGTTAGGTGCTGTAAGGGGAGCTGCCCACTCTTGTGGGCAGCCGGAGTAGGCAGCTGCAGTGCGGTTCTATACACCTCCTCGGAGACAGACCCCGTGAGTTGAAATGGAGTTGCCGCCCACGTGGGCAGAGGCTGCAGCCTGATTGCCGGTCGCTGGGAGTGAGGAGCGCAGCCCCCGGGTTGGGCCTTACCCAACAGGAACTGACGGGAGGGGGTTTCCGTGAGGACGCCAGGGCAGCCTACGTCACTCCACTTTCCCCTTGCAACAACAGCCCTGCGAGGTAGGTTACACGGACAGGAAGTGCCTGGCCCAAAGTCACTGAGAGAGCCTCATGGCCGAGGGGGAGCGATCTCCTGCCTCTCCCGGGTCCTCAGTCCAGCACTCTGACCACCGCATTGGCTCTCCAAAACATCTGCAGGGTACAGAGGGTTGCAGTGGTAGCCGAAAACATCTGGACAGAGCTGTAGCCCAGAGGAGCAGGCTGCTCAGACCCCCTCACCGTGCTGCTTTACAGCAGAGGCCTGGCTGCTGGCTTGCAGGTCTCATCACCGTGGCCAATGGGAGTCGTAGTCCGGCAGCATCGGGCAGCCAGTGCTTCCTTGTACCCCGGCTATGCAAAACCAGCTCCAACCTCGCTGTGGCTTCCGTGCCACTGATGAGTCAGGTCCTGAACTCGCAAAGAAGAGCATTTGTTCAATCAGGATGTTTGCTTTTCAGGCTCTTTCTAATTTTTCCACGGGGAACTTCTGGCTGGTTGCCGGAAATGCAAAAGCCCCTGACTTTTTAGCTGACGAGCAGTGGGCGGGGCGGGGAGGAGAAGCACCTTTGGGAGGAGAAACTGAACTTGCAGTCACTGCTAACTTCCTGGAACATCCGGAGCAAACTGTTTTGAACTCCACCCTGGGAGAATGGGCAGAGCGGCATAGGTCAGACTAGCAATTACCGAATGCGTAGAAACAGGCACACCAGACGTCATGCCAGCAGTTGTCATCCGTGCTGACTCACGCTTTGATTCACCCCCTACGTGGCCCTCTTATTTCCTGCAGCTCCGTGAGCGCTTCAGCAGCACATGAGTTGGGGCATTTGAGGCCTGACTTCTGAGTTTTCTTCGCAGTGTTCCTTCTTAAGGATGCTGAAGGCTGCAGTGAAGCTCATCGTAACGGGAGATGACTTTGGCTACTGTCCAAGAAGAAACCAAGGCATTGTGGACTGTTTCCTTGCTGGAGCGATATCCAACGTCTCTCTGCTGGTCAATGGCAGCGCCGCAGGCGATGCAGTGCAGCTGGCCAAGAGGTGAGAGGCCACCGCGCTCGGCTCTTCGCTTGCTTCGGTGTCCGGTTTCAGAAAGCCAACAATCAGTAAAACTCAGGGAATGCAGCCAGAAGGATCAGGGCATTGGATCAGCTCTCCTTGACCAGGAAGGCTAGAACTTGGGGGGATGTTCAGTTGGGAGAACGGCAAAATGAAAGCAGGGGCGCGTAGCTGAGATTTATACAAGGAGGCAGAGTGTGGCTGTAGAGAACCTTTCCCGCCCTGTCTCTTAGAATGCTCGCTTTTCCAGACTCACTGCGTGAAGCTGAGCGATGGAGATCCGGGGCGGCAGTGGGAAGGCCTCCTTCACGCAGTGCAGAGTGAATCGACGGCACTGGCTTCTGTGGGATGAGGTTAAAGAGTCTAATGCGGGCAACTTTAAAAGGGGATTAGAGCAACGAATGCTGACCCAGTCCACCCGTTCATCGCCTTGGAGGGATTAGATCCCTTTGTGGAGACCAAAGTGCGTTGATATGTTCTGGATCAGGAGCAGCATCTCTGCAGAGCAGCCGCAATGGACCGCGTGTCCTGTGTGTGGTTCCGCCACACATTCTGCGTGCCCCTTGATCTCAGAAGATGTCTGCAGTGTAGTCCAATTCGGATCCCTGAGTACTGAAACAGGAATCAAAATCGACACTATCAAAACCAGCACTGCTAAAGCAAATATGTATTTGCTCTAATAAATTTCAGAATCAGGACTGCGAAGTGGGTGCAGTGGTGGCCGCAACAGGGAAATCCTAGATTTCACAACCTGTGCCATTCAGGTATTTCGAGAGGGGAGGTCTGCTGAAGGGGCAGTGTCAGAGAGTCATACAGTTGGAAGGTGGCCTTGCAGGCCATCTGGTCCAAGCAGCTGCAGGGCTCAAGTCCCCCATCCAGATTTCAACCTGGCCCAACCCTGCTGAGCTTCCAAGATTAAGCCAGATCAGGCACTTCAGGCTATGTAAGTTTCCTCTTATACCCTACCCCAACCTCTTGCTCTTGTGTTGGAATGCCACCCCCAGCTTCCTGCAGCTGCCCAGGAGAACAGCTTCCTTACACCTCTCTTTGGTAGCCTAAAAATATACCTGCATTATACTCTTATTTTAAAGTACTACCACTTTTGAAAAGCAGCATGTAAAATTAACCGCTTCAAGGTGTCCCTTGACAGATGTTCCAAAGGACATTTTAAATCCACAGTTTTAGTCTCTCTGTCTCTGTCTCTGCCTCTCTCTCTGGAATGCCCAGATTTTCCTTTTGTAAATATGGAAACTTCCTGGCATAGTTTCTGATTAGATGCCAGGATGGGTGTGAAAAGCAGTCTCTGCGAGGGTCTGAAAGCACTTCTTTAAATTTAGGCCAGAGAATTTTATACTGGCATTGCTGAGCATCTTCTGTCAGCAACAGGACGGCACTGAAAATAAAGTATTGCTGTGTGGGATACTCCCAGTTCAGGATACCAGCTGCTCCCTCTTCCCCATTTTATAGTCCACCAGCATCCTGAATCCCCCAAACATGCTCAGCTCTCAGCTCTCATTGGGCCCTTTTTGCCCCCCCCCCATCCCTTGGGGTTTCTTTCTTCTCTGTCTGCACACCTTGGATCATGTCTTGGTTAGTCACCAGCTCAAAGGGAGACTGCAGCCTAGACATCTGAAGAAAACTGAGGTTGGAAAGGGCAGCACTGAAGGAACTAGAAAGATCATCAAGTGTGAGAACGTTTCACCGAAGGCCAAGGCCAAGCTCATGCGCCCTATTGCATTCCTGAAAGCTGGCCAGTGTGAAAGTTGGCGGAAAATAAATGGGAGCATCCGAAACTGGAGGAGCTTTGTGAAGACAGAGGACAGATGGAAAGATGAGCAAGTGGGTCCCGCAGCAACTCAAGACGGAGCTTTCCCTGGAAGCAAAAATGACTGAACGGAGGCTGTTGTACGTTGGGCACATCTCCAGAAGGCAAGATTCTCTGGAGAAGAATCTTGCAACGGTGGTGCTATTTAGACGGAGCATCACCCAGTCTCCGAACTTCAGAAATAGAGGTCATGATTCTGGCAGCTTGTTGTCTGACTCCTGGGCTGGTACCTCTCGTGCTTCTTGCACTGGGAATCTAAGCCAAGGGAGATTTCAAAAAATGTCGAACGTGGTGGATTATAACTTTACAACCTAATTATGTTATTCCTGGTTACTTGCCATTCATGCTGAACCTGAATGCTTGCTGGTTACATCACTGATTAGAAGATAAGCCTCAAGGTAGAAAGGCCCTCAGATGTGGGTTAATCTTTTTCAATGGCTGCAGTGATAAATATAGATGTTGATAGCCAGCGCTTTAATCTGTTTTAACTGCCTCTGCTGACTAAAAGATTTATCCTTGTGTTCTGTAACAGAAATGTTACACATTCTCTCTGGCAGCTGATGATTTATTTGTCTCACTAGAATGTGAGAAGAGCCTTTCCCTCGGCTTGAGGCCTTCCAGATGTGCCGGAGCATAGCTGGGGATGATGGGAGCTGTAGTTTAGCCCAACGTAGGAAGGTTAATTTAGAACCTTGGGTGGATTTTATTTATTTATTTAGAATTTTTGTATGCTGTCCCATTCGCATGAGCCTCGGGATGGCTTACATACCATAATCTTAAAGCAGTATTCTAGCGGAAGAGCCAATGGCTTGAGAACTGGCATTGACCCATCTGGTGAGTAAGTTCAGAGCTGAGTGCTGGTTTGAGGTCTTCCCCATTGGCAGGCTGTTAGTCAGTGGGCCCCTCGGCCAGGAACCCCCAGCAGTGGTTCCATGTTGGATGCTGGCCACCATCTTGTTTGCCCACAGTGCTCTGGCTGTTCTGTTCTACAGCTTCTATAATCCCTCAGGTCAGGGCTGATGGGAGTTGTAGGCCAAAAGAAATAGAATTGCACACCCCTGACTTAATGGGTTCCTCATTAGGGACTAGGAATCATTAAGGATCACTTGGATCTTTTCTATCTATAATAGAAAAAATAGCACGATCCTTTCATAGAAATCCATCATTCCTAAAAGCATTGCAAAATTTGGGTGTTAAATATTCCTTCTCCAGGTACCACATTCCAATAGGACTCCATGCCAACCTCTCAGAAGGTTCTCCTGTTTGCCCAGCACTGAAGCAGAAGTCCTCGCTTCTCAACAAAGATGGGTTCTTTCATGGAAAGATGGGGATCCGGACAGCGTTAGCAGAAGGTCTCCTTAAACTGTCCGAGGTGAGAAGAGGAAAGACAAGTCCCGTCGTGCAAGTTCAGGGTCGTGTGTGGGATATCCCGTGCAGAAATGTTGGCACAACCCTATTAGTTGGGTTTTGGGGCCCATCTCCAGAGGTCCTCTTCATCAGGGGATACATTTTCCAGTGATCGAGGGGACCGGAATTGTCTGGCGCTGCCCACATAATTTGTTTTAAAACATGACGCCTTTTAATGGCAAACTCAGTTTGTGAGTCCACGGTCCATTCAGTGAGTCCACTGAGAAAAGAGAGGAGTGAGGAGTATGCTCAAAGGTGGCCCCAATACTTGTGCAAGGACCCCCACCCAACAAAAAAAATCCCCCCATCCCAAATAGCTTAATTAAGACTTGGCATGCTCTTAGTAAGGAGAGCACAGGACTGAAGTTTGGAAAAGCAAACTAGAACATGGAGAAGAGGAATAGTCTTGTTATGGGTTCTACTCTTTATTCAGATTTTGTACCCATTCAGTCAAGGTTCTGCCAATTCGGGTACCTGAGTGGCTAAGAAATATTGTGGATAAATACGGAATTCCAGGTGATAAGAGTTTGATGGCATTCGCACGCTGCGCTGCTCTTCCAGTTCAGCAGGGAAGGAGGAGTCCAAAGCATTTGTCAGAGAGCAGCCCTGTTTCAGCCTTCCCCAACCTGGCACCCTCTGGACGTGTGGGGTCAACTCCCAGAATCCCCCGTCAGCCGGCCAAGTGCAAACCCGTCAAGCATTCCCTTCTTTTTGTTCTTCTTAGGTGAAGCAGGAACTGAAAGCACAAGTTGACTTGTTCCGTGAGCTAACAGGCCACTTGCCACATCACATGGATGGACACCAGCATGTCCATGTTCTCCCAGGTAGGATGCATCTCCTCTGCATTAGCTGGCCCTAGACATCGTTGGTTCCAGCAGCATCCGTCCTCTCGGAGCAGAAGAGCGTTAGGACGCGTTTGCATCCCTGAATGCTTTCCCTTTCCTCCCCTTGTTTCCCTCTTCCAGAGATCAGACAAGTCTTCGCACAGGTCCTGGAGGATTATGGAATCACGTACACACGCGTGCCGATAGAACCAGACCTTCCCCGGTGCGCTTGGATAGACCCGCCGTTAATGGACTTTTATCTGGGTGTGGAGAAGGACTCACTTAACACAGTGGATGTGTTTAGGAAGCACGGCATAAGGTGAAGCACCCAAACTTTGGAAACGGCACCGCTTTGGAGATCCCAAAAGCAGTGTACAAGTGGGTCTGCATAAATAAAAACAGACATGCCAGGATGGTGGGGGGAAAAAAGAAAGAGCCCCTCTTTCCCCATAGGGTTGCTATCCCTTGAGCCATGTGATTTAACATGCCTCTTTCTTCCTGTTCCAGGTGGCCAGACATTTATATTGGGTTGAGCACCATGGGAAAAAATATGTCTGTCATCAACATTCTTAGTGCCATTGATAATGCCGTTGGGGCATATCTAGCGAAGGAGGACCCCTCCGCTCCTTCCCGCTCACTCTCAGGCCCCGAGCACGAAACCAGGAGTTTAACCATTGAGCTGATGACTCATCCGGGGTACCCCAGCCTTCCACCCGTCGGAGGCTGTGGTGAGGGGCCGGATGATTTCTCGCAGTCCTGGGAACGCTTGCATGAACTTGAAACGTTGAAGAATGCTGAGCTGCAGAGCCATTACAAAACACGGAACATTCAGCTGTGTTCGTTTAAAGATCTCAAGATGTGACCGCCTGGAAGGGTTCATTGAGTAGTTTCTGTATGGATTAAATGTGATGCCAACTCAGTCGGAGGGTGCAGCCTCCAAGCGAAAGAGGCGTCTTGGTATGGAGAGCTCCACTGCTTCCTTCCTGGTCCTCAAGTCTCGGGGGACAGAAGTGCCCCCTCTCTGCAAAAAAGGGGAGGAGGAGCTGTCTTTCTGCAGAAGGAAGGTCCTAGTGCGGTGGCATCCCGGCCTTCAGGAAGAGCAGAGAAGGAGCCATACAGCTTAAGATCCCAGGAGTGAATTAGCGAATATGCAGAAAGATCTGTTCAAACCTGGCAGTAAAAGCAGCGGTGCTGGAGAGACTTGAGGCGTTCTGTTCCAACCGGATGCTTGTGGGACCATCACAAGGTGGCCACGAGCAGAGCATCATCAGAGCGGTATGACAACGGAACCAGTGAACTGGGGAGGTGGTGGGCTCTCCTGCCCTGGAGGCATCTGGGATGCAACTGGGCAGCCCTCTGAGAGGGATGGTTTAACTCCGTGTCCTGCAGTGAGCAGGGGGTTGGACCTGATGGCCCTCTGGCCCCTTCCAGCTCAACTATTCTACGAAGCTCTCTCTGGGTTTCCCCCACAACTGCTATGGAGACATTAAAAAAGCATTTTGCACCTGATTATTATGTTACTGTTATCACTGGCCTTTTTTCATCTTGCGAAGAACTCAAGGCAGCTCACAGCTCCTCCTCTTGGTTTGGTCTTCACAACAACCTTGTGAGGTAGGTTAAGTGCCTGGCCCAGCAGTTTATTTATTTATTTATTTATTAAAACATTTTTATGCCGCCCCATTCGCCGAAGCCTCGGGGCGGCTTACAACATAGATCCAGTGGATCCAGTTCCAGTGGGTTCCACAGCTAAGGATGTGGGCTCGCTTTTTTTGCACTTCTGTGGAATGAGCATATTACCAGCTACACTCTGTTGCATAAAAGAGAAAGTGAATGTATCACAGGATGGTAACATCAATCCCATCTATGATTTTCTTTTTCATGTATAAACAAATGGGATCTGGCACAAAATACTGTATCCTGTTTCAACTGTACTTCGACAAGCTCTGGGCTTCTGCAGCATACCTTGGTTTGACGCTATTTCCTTGCCACCCAAGTTTGCTATTAGGCGTAGTACTAGCGAGGCCTTAAAGACTTTTACAAAAATGCAAATTGAATGTGCTGGGTAGGTTTTAAGGGTTGTTTTGTTCTTACAACAGACTGCTTACTAATGCAAATTAGGCTCCCTAGAAGAGGTCCTTTTTCTCCCTCAGTGCCTTCTTCCTTTCCTTTACCTAAACCAAAGGCTACAGGAGTGGAATGTCAACCCTCTAGTCCTGAGTGCTTTGTGAAATCAGCCAGTTTTTCAGGATGTGTGAGACTCAAGGACACCTGCCCGCCCGTACTTCCTGGCTATCTCCATGTTGATAGACAGAGAAAGCTTATGGCAGTGCAGAAAACTCAGGAATGGAAGGCGTTGCCTTCTACTGAGCCGCCCAGCGAAAGCAGTATGATCTACATTGGCAAGAAGTGATGCCCAAGGAGTTCAAGCTGAAGTTTCCCCAGCCCTGTGCGGAGATACTGAGGCCCCAAGGGCATAAAGCTGCCAGTCTCCGGCTGCCTGGTCCTCTAGGCATGCCCACCACAGGCCACAGGTCCCTTCCTTGCAGTCTGGAGTGCCTCAAACGTAGGCCCTAAATCCAGCCCGATGGGGGTTGCAAGAGGGCATTTCCCCATAGCATCATTTCATGGGTTCCTCGGTTTGTAGTCCTGCCCCTTTTCTATCATTCTTTCACTGCATTTAAACCCTGCCATTTTCCCTCCTGGGAGGAGCCCAAGGTGGCTTGTGTACTTTGCCACTCCGTTTCCTCACAGCAACCACCTTTGGAGGTAGGACAGGTGGCGAGCAACTGGCCCCGAAGTCTCCTGTTGAGCTTCAAGGCTGAGTGGGGACTCGAATGGCGCTCTCCCAGTTCCCCAGTCCCAAAACTCTGAACTGCCATGCCATGTCAGCTCTTAAAAGCTGGGATGCCTTTCCTAAGGCTTAGTTCCTGGCAGTGAGAATTCTAAGTTAGAATCTGGCATTTTGGTTCTGCCTCCTCTGATCTTCAGTCCACCCAAGCGCTTCTCCAGAAGTATTGATGCATAAGTAAGCACTTCAGTGCACTTACATTTAATTCTCTTTAATGCGTGAAGGGTACGCTGAAGCTCCTGGTTGTAACTGACATCAGAGAGAGGAAGGGTGGGCACAAGACAGGCTGCTTCGCTCTGCTCCCACAGGATGTACCTACTAGAAACCCTGCAGGGAGCACAGATAAGAGGCTGCAGCCTTGGAAGGCAGGAGGCTGGCAAAAGCCCCAATTAAATCCCTCCACTGGGTCAGCGTACTGATGCTTTCGGCCCGCACTCTTCTCTCGGTGTGACATCCCCACACACTTGTGAGAAGAAAGGGAATGATCACCACTAGTTTTGAGTTTCTTGGAGAAGGTGGCAGTGGCAAGAGGAGGGTAAAAAAAATACAGTAAAAGTCACCTTACAGTGCAACTGAGTCACAGTTGTATTTTTTAAAAACGTTGGAAATCAGTGCTATCCTGAAATTATATCTACATAGCCAACTCTTGGTTTCTCCTCATCTATGTGCAAATTTGCCACTGAAGAGGCATCTAGACCATAAGAGCACTTGCCATAATAAACTATTTAAGGCACTATAGTACTCAACAGTATTACCTAAAATGCACCCTTGTATGAGAAAGGATTTGAGTACGCAAGGGTGCAACCCAGGTTTGAATAAAGTACAGGAACCCAATTAAAAGCTTCCCAAAAGATAAGCCAGCGTAACAGACCATGAAAGACAAGATCTGGAACCTTCTGCACAGCAAGGACACAGAGCTACAAGTCGCTTAATTGCATGCCCTCCCTTCCCACACACGCCCAAATATACTTTCGGGGGGAAAAACTGAAATCACTGAATTGTAGCAAGGCAATACCCCTAGGCTGCTTCGGCTTAGTATCTGTGCAGAACGGTTTTGACAAACCTACATCAACGCGCAAGGGAAATACGCCATGCCATAGAGCCTTTGAGAGCATTTTATTCAGGGCAGCAGAATGGAATCGCAAGAAAGCCTATACCAATACAAGAAAGGTGGTGTAGACTTGGAGATCTCAAAAACTACAAGTTTAGAATCCAGCTTTGTTTTGGAAACCAGACAGAACCAAAAGAAGGGCAGGGGGAAGAAGTGCGAACGCCTGAGTTGACAGTACATTACCATAATACTATGCATTCATGCACACCTCAGTTTTGCTGGACTAAGGGGACCGCTTGGCTCGGACTTGAACGAACTCCCGCCTCTATGTGCAAAACAGAAAGGATGTTGGGACTTGGAGGCTTCCGTTTCATTCTCCAGCTCCTTGTACCATGTGTAGAAGTGAACATCTGACCCACCGAGAGGATTCAATATCCGGGAGCAAGAGCACTTTGTAACTTTCAGGAATCAAGTGTTCATTTCTACATGCAACTTGGCAGGCACAGCAGAAGGGTTCTCACAGTCAAACCACAGCAGGAGTGGAGGAAGAGCTGAGAGGGAAGAGAGGTTCCAAAGTTAGCATAGGTGGCGCTAGAAACATCTGCTGCAGCTTCAGCAGCCTGCCTCTCCATCTCGATGAAAATAGGCCTCCTCACTGGTTTTGTGATAGTTTTCTATGTTGTGTTAGTTTTCTGTGTGGTCTTTCTAAAGGCCTGTTTACTCATCACATGCTTCATGAGCCAATGAAAATCTAGGCAAAAGTTTTGCAGGGAACTTTTGAGGGGTGGGACTGAAAGGAAACGGGGCACCTGCTAAAGGAAGAGGCAGTGGGATTTGAAGCCTTCCATTAAAAGAAAATTATCTGTTCTCTAACAGATGTGGTTTGATTGTCCTGGGGCTCGGTAGAAACCTTGCTTGTGACCTGATACAACTGTAGCCTAATGGAAACCAGTTCCAATATCAGGAAAGAGTTTTTCTTTAAGTGTGTACTCCCACAATTACAAAAGTTGCTTTGAGCAGACAACAGTTGTATCTGTGGAGGTTTGGGGCCATATGTAACATACTCTGCACACACTCACCCAGCAGTCCAGATGTACCACAGAGAAAAAACCCTAAACACACCAACCAGTCTGCAGAAGCCAAGACAAGTGTTTTGTTACACACCATGTGATTTTCAGATTATAGGTGAGAAAGCTATACCCCCTGCGTACACACACATGTGCGAATGTACACTTCATTCCTAAAGGTGAAGGAAAGCCCCAGCACAGATAGGTGTGAATTCTGAACGGCAGTTCCTTAAATAACCCAAGCTTTTCAGTTCCCCTTCCAGGGAGCACCAGTTCACATATAAGCGGTTTAACCTGAGAGGTTTACAATTGAAAAGAGAAAGAGAGATTTCTCACTATCGAAGTAACAAGAGTGACAGGTAAATGGAACTGGAGTGTTGTACGTGAACAAGAGGCAACTAACAGGTGAAAAAACAAACGGTCCAATTTCAATGCAATGAGATGCAGGAGTTACATACACTTCAGGTTGACAGATAAAATTTGGCATTTTTTGTTTATTTTGAATCTGCGTGAGCGTGAATGAAACAAAGTCAGTACCAACTTTCTGCAAATGAAGACACAAAAATTTGTGGAAATTTTGGTAATAAGACAGTGCTGGTCACCAAGCCTGAAGACACACACTTAGGAAATGCAAGTGTCCGTTAAGTAAAGGTAGTTTTTGACTAATTGCCTACCAAAGTATTTTGTCTAAGAACACTTAAAACAGAGATGCTTCATACCCCCAACTTAGAAAGAAAAAAAATTCACTTTTCAACAGAGGTACTTGGCTGTCTATCTTTTATGGTTTTAAATCAAAAGATGGAGTAGGAAAGGAGTGGGGGAGAGGTCATATAAAAAAAGTTAAAACCCCAAAGGTTACTTTACTGCTCCCTTGCATCCTTCAGCCCTGAAACATGGCAAAGGCAAAAGACTTCTTACATCTCCCATTTGGGTGCAGAGGGATTTACTAGTGAATTAGGATGATATGTACTTTTTGTTCTCTACTCAGATTTTAAAGGGATGGGCCAAATGTTCGCTTGAACCAGGCATTTAAAACTTCAGTGGCTGGGAAACCACCTTTGGTCACATGGCTTGCTCACTTTTTACAGCATCCTAAACTTAGAATGTTTAAAAATAAATTGAAAGGGCGTTTGGTTTGAAATGGGAGAAACGTCACCCTACTTAAGCAGGAAGGCCCTGGACTAAAAGAAACCACATTAGCTCGCCTAATTCTAGAATGCTGCATTTCATACTGGTATTTAAGAATGGCAGAAACCTTTGCATCTATTGGCCACTTATTGCTTCATGGAAATGTCTTGTGTTTTCAAGAACAATCAGACAATGCATTAGGGAAAGGTAAGTTTGCCATTCCACAGGAGAAATGTAATATGGTGGATATATGTAGTTAAATGGCTAGCAATTTGTTTTGAAAACTTAAGATTTCACAGAGCATTCCTTCTATAATCCTCCCCACGAAAAGGAGGGTAGGATGGGGGAACCTTGTTTTTTTCCACTTTGGTGCCTCTTGGTCCCTCATTTGAAATTTTGTTGAACTGGCTTGTGATGCTATTCTCAGTTAATTATTTATTCTAGGTAGTCTGCATAGATACTAAGAATAAAAGTGACTTTTTAAAAAAAAAATCACATCCCACTATTCCTTTGCTATGGAACATCCTGTGTTAAAAATTTCCCAGGAGAGTTCATAAGTCTTACTGTAATTCATTCATGTACACAAAGCTTAGAGTTCCCCATTTAATAAACATTATTGAAGTAACATCAGCCAGATTTACATCAGATCTGGGCTCAGTTCTGATTATTTTATGGAATACATGTGGTGGATTTATTATGTTACAAACTGAAGTTAGGAGAAACTTGGGACCAAGTTCCACAAAGCGCAGTGCAACATTTAAGAGAAGGGAAAAGGAAGCAAACTGCCAAACATTCAACTTTTTGTCAGGACAACAGTGTAGTTTTGCTAAGACATCAGTGTGTGGGTTTTTGGAGTGGGGAGGGAAGGTGCTCAGGGAAAGTAAAATATTAAATGGAGGGGGAAGGCTTACAGGGGAAAATAAGAAGTAACAGCCACAACCTTCCGAACTTTTAAGGGCAGATTATAAGTCTAAGATATTTTTGATAAATTCTGACAAGGAAAAAAAAAAAGAAACAGCATTCTTTAAAGTATATTGAAGCAGTGATTTTAAACAAAGAAAGCAGAACTAGAACATCTTAAATTTTTAATCCTTTCTTTACAGGTTACCTAAACCACTTTCGATTAAGAAACTGTAGAAAGTTAGTAACAGCCACAAGTTAACACCAAGAGGTGGCACTTGTCAATTTTCCAGAGTCCTGCTTTGTGGTGTGTCTGAAATGCACTGCTCCAGGTCTTCTATCACACATTGCTGACATCAAATCTGCCAGATTTTTTTTAGTCCACTGGTCGCTTTTCACCATATTTCTTTGTAAACTCTTCAGCGTTCTTACAGAATTTTTTACGGTCCTTAGAGTATTCCTCAGCTAGGTCGGCCCGAAGTGGGTGCTCAGGCTGAGGGTCATTCACCAGTGCTATGAGGGACTGGATTACTGCCAAAAGAAAGCAAAGGAAGTGTCAGTGCGTCTGTAAAGTGCGGCAGAGAGGAGTTGCTGGTTTTATCTTTAATACCAATAGAAGTATTTAATCTGGACAGTATGCCCTACAATTGGAAGTGCTACCGTACCTCACACACCAAACCAAAGAGCCCATGGATAGTTGATAGATAGTTGCAATCCTAAATATGCTGCATGGTAAGGGATAAGACAGGGAGAACCGACCATCAAAACCCTCATGCAGCTGTGAAGATCACACAAAGGGACTGGAGCCAATCACTGCCTCTCACCATCAGTTGCGTTCACTGGATAACTGTGAATTTAAGGTGGAAGGAAGGAGTTGTGAACTCTGATCCTATCCTCAACCTGTATAGCTTGAAGTGCCTGATCCTGCCTGATCTTGGAAGCTAATCGGGGTCAGGCCTGGTTAGGATCTGGATGGGAGACTTGAGCCCTGCATTGAGCAGGGGGGTTGGACCGGATGGTCTTCTAGGCCCCTTTTCAACTGTATGGTTCTATATCAGAAATACATTCCATAGCCCTAACTAGGTCTTATTTGCAGTCACCACAATTTGGATGATGGGTATATATGCTGATCTGGATGCAATTTCATTTCAAATGAAGGAACCGTTCTGTGGATTCCAAGACATGCACAACTGAATCCTTCCATCACTTAAATAGATGGGGAGGAAGAGTTCCATGTCTTCTCCCAACAGCTCTGTTCCCAAGAGGTTTACTATTCAGGGAGAGCAAACTATCTGGAGGATAAGAGGTGCGGCAAAATGATACTGCAAATGCTATGAGCTGGATCCAGGATCAGCTTCGATGGACAAAAACGCTCGGTTCCTGGAATATGTCTCCACCGAACCTCTGTGCAGCATTTTTTGGGGAGCTGAAGGGGCTGCTATGGGGAGGGGGTGGTAGGGGAATCTGCTTCTGCCAGCCAAGTTTCAGGCACCTAGAAAAATCATAGCACTCACACCTCAATCAACCAGCCTAGAAAGTGATCGAAAGGAAGGGCTTTCTGTAGACAGTGGATGGTTAAATGCTTATTTGTGCAAGCTGAACTGCAGAGCAGGCTGGTCAAATTTTGGCAAAGGACATATTTATTTTAACTGAATGGGCTAAAAGGCAGCTGACAGCTGAACGTTCTAACATGGGTTGCCAGTTCTAATATACACTCTCCAGGTTTTGAAGCTTCCTAGAAATGTTCTTTCTCTGCAAATTTTGCACAGGGAGGTAAAATAGAGCTCTGTCAGAGAGAGAGAGAGAGCAAAATAAACAGTCTTTGAGAAACTAGAAAAAACAGGCTCATTTCAGCAAAGGACCCAACTTCTTACTTTTGGGATTCTCTTTTATTAAAGATCCAAACAGCCTGAAGCATATGGGTAGTGACCATAAAAGACATAAGCCTCTATAAAAGCTCACTAAAAATCAAATGGAATTTGGGGAAAACGGTGGGAACCTGCTGAAAAGCCTTACCTTGATCAGTTTTGGTGGCCGGCTTCCAGTTTTCAGCACTAATTACTGGCAGGCAAACCTGCCCCTTCTCATCGATGTTGGGGTGGTAGATCTTTGTTTTAAATGTAATCTTGGGAGGTTTGAACGGGTACTCTGCTGGAAAGTTGATTTCGATTCTGAACGCACCCTTGTCATACGGAGGATTGTCCTGGAACGAAAAATCAACATATTAAGAACAGTCCAGGTCTAGAACAGGAAGAACCTGGAGATCATCTACAGCAAGCCTCACCTTATTTTTTATTATGATTATGGTTAAACTTATATTCCACATGATTAGCCCAAGGACTCTCCACAGGCTTATGGAATCTAAACCGCCGGGGTCTTTACAAGAATCCCAAGATTTGCAGTAGTGACTTTGCAGGAGACTGGTAAGACATTAATTTATTATTATTATTATTATTATTATTATTATTATTATTATTTAGGAAACTTACATTTAGTGAAGAGAAAAGAAAGCCTCTTGAGCCCCTGTCTAACCCAGCAATGTATCCCCTGCATCACAGAAATGCACTCCCGGTCTACTGATGTGTCACCCTGTGAGCAGCTTAGAAAACTTTACTAAGCCAGTGCACCTTTCCAGAGAACTACAAGCAGATCTGCACGCCTTACTCTACACAACTTGTACTGCACACCGTAACATGTACTTCAGAACTTCCAACCCTCTACAATGACAACATTTTCTCTGTAAAGGTCTAATGTTCTTCTCTCTCTCTCTCTCTGACACACACGAAGAGGGAGGGAGGGAGGGAGGGAGGAATGAACCTACAAGGGGTTATGGAAAAGGTGTCAGAGTCTAATAAGGAGGATGAAGTCTGCAAACAGCAGCACCTTGTACAATACCATTTAATGGAATACGCTAGTGATTCTAACTTGCGCCACTAATTATAAGAAACCAGCACGAGACAGGTTTTTTAAATGATGGGCCAAATAAACAATATGTCACACACAAATGCAGAGGAGAGCTCTCCCTCCAAGGGTTGCTTAAGGGTATAATCTCATGCAAGTTCAGGCAAAATCTGGGGAAAAGCCTGTAACTCCTATGCGGCATCCCTGGGGAAGCTACCTATGTGGCCCATGCCCCTCAAGGGTCACATATGTAGCTTCCCCAGAGGTGTCAAAGCCTGGAAAATACAAAAAATCCAGGGAGAAAATATGATCTACCCATTCTCAGTGGGAAAAACTGAATTTTTGGTATCCCTCTTGACCCTTTTTTCTTTTTCCTTCTCCCCACCCTAACCAGACTTCATGAATTTCCCCCTCTCCCCTCAATGCCCTTTTAACATCCTGTCTGATTAAGAAACCTGGAAATTTCAAAACTTTGTACATTTTTCCTAACTGTTGAGATGGCCTAATAAAGATATTGCTGCCGTTTGGATTTTGGAATCTCTCCCTGTTCCACACATATGAACTAGGAGATCCTGTCGTTGCTATGGCAATCACAACTCTTTCTTCATCAGGATATCAAAACACCTGCAATGTTTAAGCTGTATCAAAGCGCAGAATGTGACTCCATGGGACTCCAGTGACCAATGCCAACTGCTCTTGTCTCTCCCGCATGTGTGAATGGTTTTAAATGTCATCTTTGCACAGATCAACTTTTTGTGGGGGAGGGGTTAAGGAATATAAAACACTGTAAGCAAACTTGCATGCCAGTGCAACACTAAGAAAAAGAGTAAATGAACAAGCAAATCCAAGGAAACATGAAGTACAAGTTAACAAAGCCAAACACTGCTCGAGATCATTAGGAAAGGGATTTCAAAATTATTCTGTTCAGGACTTTTGGCATACAAATGAATTGGCCAAGGCCCAAAGAACCACACAACTTATCCCTCACACCCAAGGGAGCATTGCCCTTGCATTTCCTGAATAGCAGCTTCCCATGCTGCGTGGCAAATCTCTTTGGAAACAAAGATGAATTACAAGAGTGCTTTGAGATATGGAAAGGGGATTTACTGCACAAAGGAGCCTCCTCCCCTGAAAAAACTCCCTCTTGTGTTCCACGCGCATCAGTTTCTATATAACCATTTCATTGAGCCAGCAAGCAAGCGAGATCCGAGCCAACTAAGCCAACTCTTTGCCCACAGACGCAGCCTCTCCGCTCTACGATGTTAAACAACTGAATTAGCTGCAAAATGCGTATTCCAGGCTATTAAGATTCATAAGCAAGTGGAAGGGTCCTAGTTCTTTTAGCCTTGGTGAGATTTCTGGTTTCTTCCCCCCATGAGTGAGAAATTAGGCATTTATTTTTGGAATCTGACCATCTGGGAGATAATGGTATTAAAAAGAAATCCTAATAGTGGTCTTTTGGAAGCCCTATTGTTGTGAAAACTCTAATCATGAACATTACGTTCAAGTCACAACCATTTTCATTTACAAAAGCAGATTTTACCACTGCGAAAACAAGCTTCCTATAGTGAAATGAAAGCTTCACCAAAGCATTGTAACTCAAAATGGATAAACGGCAATTTGTTACTGATAAATGAGGAAGTGGCATCATTAAACACACCAGTGGCTTCTACTGGAGCACCTAACATGGTGTCAGCCATGGCAGCTGTATTTGATTAATGGTTCAGTCCTGCAATTGCAGTGCATTTAAAAACCATCCTTCAGTTTCTGCAGTCTTGGAAAGTGAAAGGAATCAGATGGAACAGCATGTTAAGACTCCAGTTCATAGTGGATTTCATTTTCAAGGTCTTCAAGATTAAAAACAAAACATTTATCTGCTGTCTTGAGGTGGCACTGGTATTAGCAATTCCATCCATTTCTCAATTTCTCAGGGGATTTTAATGTCTAGCTATAGTAAGCTTGACACAAGATTGTTAGGTGGCAATGAGCTTGTTTGCTATGACCAGCAGCCCTGCTACAACAGCAAGTTTTCCAGGGGGAGACAGATATCGTCTTCAATTTGTACCTGTCCCATGCTTTCCCTTCTCCCATCTTTTTCCTTACCGGGAAAAAAAATCTGTTAGGAAGAGTGAATATCTGCACAATGGCCTTTGATGGCCAGTGCCTGGAGCCCTCCATCGGAAAGCACCTCAAGCCTCAGACCAGTGGCTTTTCCCAGTTCTATTATCCAAAATCCTTTCTACTGGCAACCCCAGAGACTGAACCTGAACTTTCCTCATGCAAGCCATGTGATCTGCTATGAAGTTACGTCCCCTCTAAACCTTCCCTGCTAGAGAAGGACTCTAGGGTATATTCATCTGAAGAGCATGCCTTCTTCACAAACTGCTCTCTCCCCTTCCCTCAAGTCTTCCTGGCTGGCCTGCAGCCAAGATGAGTGGACTAAAACCACCCCAGCAGATTATCTGGGGAAGTCTGGAGGTGCCCTAGATTCCTATCAGCCATTCTAAGGCTACACCTTCTAAGAACTACTTGCTATTGGATTAAGCTATTTGATGAATGGCAGATGCCACTCATGACCCGAACGGATCCTTGCCATGGCAGGCTGATAGGCCCTGGCACGCATCACTGAGGGCCGACTTGATGTTCTAGATTCAAGTCCCATCAGTCCCAAGCACCATGCCCCCTAGTCAGGAATTCTGGGACCTGAAGCCCAAAATATATGAAGGGCACCAATCAGGAAAGGCTGCCATAAATGCTTTCAGAGAGGCCTAGTGCAGTCTATTATGAATGGAGCCCTGAGTGACTGGAAAATATCCCACTTCAGAATGTGCCCCCACCTGAATTTGTGGGATTCCTTCCTTTCCTCCAATGAATTCACCCGTACCGAGTAACAGGGTCAGGTGTGAAAGACTTGGGCGAGAGAGTGAATGTTCTTATGCTCCTTTAAATCAACCCTCCCTGTGGTCCCCCCCCCCCCCCACAGCGTGATGCTAACGGAGCGACCTGACGGAACTACGAGCCAGTATGAGCACCTGCAGTCGGACTCATTCGTGTGGGGACCCTGCCAAGAATCAGCCCCTCCATGCAGGGCTCTGCATGTGCCACCACTGCAGTTTGCCTCCGTGTGAGCAAAGCTGGACTATGAGCTTACAGAGGCCGTGAGTCACAAGGTGCCGTTAGGGAGGCCGCTGCAGGTATGAATGAGCCCTTTGAACACCTGGACTACAGAACGGTGCAAAATCTGAAAGCAACCACAGCTTGTACGAAGAACTCTAATTACAGGCATGTCTATTATGCTTTTTTTATGACAGCGCACCACCAAATCTATTGACGCTTGTTAATAAATTACAGTTATGTACATGTCATCAAATGGTTCAACCCTCGCCCCTGCACAAGCTACAAGCCTTGCAACGTTTCAGACAAATACCACAAGTGTTATCTTTCCTAATCACAGATTGCTTAAAGCCCACGACTGCAGGTTAAATGTTCTTAATTCTGCCCAACTGTGGTTCAAGTGATCAGAAAAACTGTGTAAATGAACACAGCAAGGAAGAGCTTCGGATATCCTCCTTAAAACCATCATTAACATAATGTTGGTGTTTTACACTGACAAAGGCTTGGCACTTTTGCATCTTGCATATCTGAGCAAATTAAAAAATCCAATTCCTCTACGATGATGTGACCTATGAAATCAAATGCCACTGTGTTAATACAAGGTCAATATATGCAGTTATCCCAGTATATCAGCACACAGAGAACCACCTCCAAGCACTCACATGAGAAGACACTCCTAACCCTCCGGGATATTTAACAGCAGAACAGACTGCTGCAGAATTGGTGGCTTCTCCTTCACTTAAGGTATTTAAGAAGAGGCCGAATGCTGTAGCTGCATCATGCATTGCACAGCGGCCACATGTTTTGATCCCAAGTTGCTCTCCAAGAACTGGTGCAGATCAGCCTGATGACGCTCTCGGTATATGCTTAGTGTGAGCACATACACCAAGTGTATACTTTTCTTTTTCTTAGGAAAAATACTTACTAACCTCACAGAATGAATGGACTGTAAAACAAATGTCCTACAACTCCAAGCATTCTCCATGTGCCCCAGTTTATTAGGTATACTTCAAATCTTTTTCAAGGATGCTATTACCATTGTTCTCTGGGGCAGCTAAATTGTTTCTATTTTGGTTCAGATCAATTAGACAGAACCTAATTATGTATTCCAGCTCCAAATAAAGAACACACACATACACATATACTAACAAAAAACAAAAACATGAGGGACTACACTCCAGGAGCCAAGAAAAGCTTCTGGACTCAATCAAAGGAAATCATCTTGATAAAAATCACCCTTCTATATACTAGCACATGAGGAGATTGCTCATCCAGAGGGGAAAAACACAAGGTTTGTGGAAGAAAATGGAATACAAACCTCTTTAAATAATCTCTATCATATTCTACTGAGCATTTGAGGGTCACAGAGGGTGCCAAAACTACCCCGAGATGCTAAGTAGCCATTCCAACTAGTCACGCTAAGCTCAATTTTGTAATTTTACAACACTGGTTCATGCATCTTCCTGCTTCCCTCTTCCTTTGCCTATTAGTTATATGAGTATTAGTGGAGGCTGCTTCATTTTTAAAATATCTATACGATGCTTAGAAAAGCTTAGGCACTTTACAAAGTATTATTAAATAAGAACATTTCATGTTGCTGAAATTGTGAACTAATTCCTTAGGTTGCATCCCTTCTGCAAATATCACTGCCAACCTTCAATTCTGGGTTCAGATAACATGAGAACAAGACAGAGGTGAAATGTTCTCAGTTGCCAACTCACTGAAAATGGGTGGGCAGGAGCCATTGCACCTGTTTCCTCCCTTGTCACTATCGATCCACAGTTCATTAACCACGAGTTGTTTCTGACATGCAAACTCACTCTAAGTTTGTAAAAGGGAGTCTTTAGGAAAGTCATGACCCAAAACAAATGACCTGTGTAGCACTTTGAAATTATAACAGGCTGCTTTCACACTCACAGGAACAATAAGCCCTTGCCAAGTCAATAAGTTAGCTTCATCAACTTGGATATTACGGAAATTCTTCATTCCACACTTGCGGATTTCTTCAAGCTCCTGCGAACCAAACACAGCAGAAATAGCATGTTAGCAAGAACAGCCAAGACAACTGGTTGTTACAGTTCAGGAACCCTTAATTGTTGTTCTTGGTTCCCCCCCTTCCATACTGACCCAGTTCTGATATCATTCCAAGCCAGGAACAAGCACTGGGCCTGAGTGGCCCCCCTTGTCTCTTCCCCTCATATGCTCGCTTTGGCATGACGCTCCCGACTCTTTTCCTGGGGTGTTAACTGATATCAGTCAAGTTCTCTGGCCGAGATGTAACAGGAAACTGTCTAAATACGAGCCAGAACTTTTGTGCCCAAGCCAGCACATTACAGCAGGAAGGGAGGAAGGAGTACTCTACCCCAAAGCTTATTTCCATAAACCGTGGTTTATGAAGCCTGCAATGATCATCTAAACCAGGCCATGATATGAACTGGGAATGCAGAGCAAGTCACCTGCCAAAGAAACCCTTTCAAGTTTTGTCTAGATTGTATTGTTTGACTATCCTAATGTGCGCAGTGGCACAGGCTTTCCTAACAATTCTCTTACCCTAATTTGCATCAGACACACCATAGAGGAGGAAGAACAGAATCACAGAATCATCAGAGAGTTGGAAGGGGCAAGGCGGCCAGCAGGTCCAGCCCCCTGCTCACTGCAGGACTTCAAGTCAAACCATCCCTCTCAGATGGCTGCCCAGTTGCATCTGGAATGCCTCCAGTGTGAGAGAGCCCACAAGCCTCCCCAGGTCATTGGTTCCGCTGTCGCACTGCTCTAACAGTCAGGAACTTATTCAGTTGAAACCTGGTTTCCTGTAACTTGAGCCTGTTATTCCGTGTCCTCTACTCTGGGATGACTGAGAAGAGATGCTGGCCTTCCTCTTTGTGACAACCTTTCAAGTACTTGAAAACCGGTGATACTCAGAGAAACACCTTTAAAACATCCCCCCTCCGACAGCAACCTCCTCCGTCAATCCAGAAACACATCAAGGTAGCAAACCATGGATACATTAGGGCAATACACATGTTTACCTCTCTTCACCTCCCAACCTCTCCCCCAGGTTACTATCAAAAATTTTAAAAATAGCTATTTGCTCTCTGACCAGTTTAACAAAGAAGTCAATATTTACTGTTCAAGAATTGATCATGTGGCAGAGATCAGGTAGCTGTGAGAGGGTAACACAGCATACCATGCATCTCTTCATGACACCGGGTAGCATCCCCTAGGTCTTTGCACCTCTGAAGCTCACAATACCATGCTTAAATGTATTGCACCCTCTTCCCCCAGCCCCTGTGCATGAATTGCTCAGCTAACAAAAAACCCAGCCTTTAAGCATGTGATAGTCAGGACTGAGTTCTCAAGGGATATTGGCCTGCTTTAGACACCTTTACACCCATGACTCATTGTGAATGCACCAGCATGCTAGCGCACATGCCTTGAATTGCTCCTACCTGGCTCCTCCTGCTAGAGAGAGTGGCCAAGCCACCCAGTCTTGGAAAGCAGACTATCAGGTTCAAATGCCCCCCTCCCCATTTAGCTGCTCCCGTGAGCAGAAGGAACCAAATGGGAATGCTTAAGCTGTATCAACGAGCACATCGGCTCATTCACAGAAACTCAGAGTTTAAAAAACAAACAAAATCTGAGTTACATATTGGGCTTTAGTGTAGGCTTTAATATATTTGTACCAAATTCAAATTTCTTCTCAAAACACCTTATTTTGAAGGGACAATTGCTATATTATTATTTTTTAAATAAGAACTTCCATTTTTATCTGCTCTGAGTACAAGTTGCAAGATTTTAACTAAGACATACTGGTTGGGAGTTCAGTTGCTTACCTACAATAGGCTCAATGTGGTTATAGCAGTCATCTATAAAAGGAGCCGCTCCTAAGCTGACTGCAGCTTTTCATTTATGAAATTCAGTTTCATTTATGAAAATCAAGTTTTATTAGCATTTTGCAGGATAAAACAAGGAGACTGTTTTATTATAAATGTTCTGCATAAAGCATTTGATGCAGTGCCACCCAGCCCAATCCCCTCTATATGTACAACTGGCAGCCCCCTCCAAGTTCACACTAAATGCTTCCCAGGGCACAAGGAGTCACTCACAGGAAGCAAACATGCTACAGAAAAGTGCTATAGAGCAAGCACATCCTACGAAAGTAAAGCATGTGAATTATGTACCGGGACTGTTAGTTGATTACATTTAGGAGGGCACCATCATTACAACACCCAGTTAGTGCCTAAGGAGTAACAATTTTATCCGCCAAGTTTTCCCCAAATTAGTGCTACAGGGGCATCAAATATTGTTCGAACAGCAGCAGTCGCCACTATGCCGGGAAGAGGGGGCAGAACTCATTCCAACCCCAGTGCATCATGAGGGAGACATGAGAGAAACTTGTGGGGGTCCTTCTCTCACTGTAGATTTATTTTGGCAAAGAGGATTTTCCTGATGACACCGGAACAAGAGAAAGGAAGCGGTAGCTTTACTATCAAAAGCCACGGCAATAGCATATAAATCGGTGCACTTGTTTAAAGACACATCGTCCGAACTTTGAAAAAGTCACTGACAGGACTCAAATGGATTCATAAACTTTGTCACAAAAAGGCTTTCAAGATAAGTGTTTTATTTGGTAACACGCATATCTCCTTTTCCTAAAGAGCTTTGTTTAAAAAGGTGGGGGGAATAAAATGGGGCCCTGCCCATGGAAGACACTGACAGACTGACTTTAAAGAAGGAAAAAACAGGCACCTGCTCTTCTGATTAAGGCTCTAGTGAAGGAGATAAGTGTTTTATCTGTGCAGTCCATGCCAATGCCTGCAATTTAAGATTCCTTGGGTTAGGCAATAGAACCTAAATGGCCTTATATGAAGTCCATCTAACCCAATAAGATCTACTCTAACTGGAAACTACTTCTCGTGTAAAAAGCTTTTCTTGCTCTGTTTCCTGTCCTTTAAAATGGAAATGCAGGCAGTCCCAGAGTTATGAATGAGTTCTGTTCCTGAGAAAACAGAAATTCATCTTTAAGTTAAATTTGTATAGTTGGTCCTTCACATGTGCAGGGGTTAGGGATGCAGGACCCTCCTGAAAGTGGGAAAGCAGGGAATATCTCTAGCTCCCTCCCCCACACTGCCTCTCAGCAGCAAGGAAATGCCAGAGAGGTTTCCCTCTCTGGATGGGCAGGGCATTAACACCTCTCTGGTGTTATTTTCTATAGTAATTTTTTAAAAATTGATAGGCTTCATGGCAGTTCATAAGTACAGGTTGCTTGTAAGTTGGACAATTGTAACCAGAGACTGAACCAAGCTTTTCTGCACACAAAATTCTGATCTTACCTCTTAGCAAAGACACCTTTCTGACTTAAATATACCAAAACAGCTGTTGGCAGATATATGATTAGTGGCTATTACTGAAAACCTCTTGTCAATCTTGCTTTACTGAGCCCTGCCATCATGATGTATCAAAAGCACTAGACTAGTTTTTTGTTGTGTTACTATGACACTCTAGTGAAAAGGCATACAGACGGAAATCCCATGCAGCTCTGTGCAAGTTTCCTTTAAATATCTCAATGCTAAAAGTGTGCAAGTAAATTTAGCCCATGCATGAGGTGGCATACTTCAACCAATTTATCCCAAATAAACATATAAAAATAAATGCAACAAATCACATAAAAAAAGCCAAGCCACAGCCAAAGGAATGCGAACCTTTGCAGACTTTGCATCAAGGCTACCCTTGGTGTGCCAAATCACTTTTACAGCTACACTGGAAACTATGTACACTTCTATTCTTAGGTTAGATTGATTGAAAGTGCCAAGAAAAAACAAATAATTTAAATTATTTGCATTTTTAAATTGGAAAGTGCCAAATGATCAGTGACTTTGGCCCGGATTTCAAGATCCCTGCTCAACAGGTCCTTAGGACAACCAGCAACAACCCACAGTATTCCACACAGGATTACTGAACCAAATTCAGGGACAGGAAGCAATGTTAGTTTAGAGTAAAGGGGGTGAGTTAACCAAAGGTCATTATTATAGGCACGTGCATCAGCCACTCACCTACCCTGTATTGGGTTAAGGTTTTTGTAATCTGCTTAGAGAGTTCTTGGACTAATTTAATGGCAGAATGGAAGCTGAAGGAAGAAAGAAAGGCAGGCAGGCTGGCCGGCCGGCCGGCAGCACAGGTGAGAACAAGGTTAAAATGTTAGCCTTTCAGCCAAGAAGGAGTGTGAAACTGATGACAGTGGCCTCTTGCCAGTGACGAATGACAGTGAGACAAGCAGGCACATTTCCGTGACTTATGCATAATAGCATTGGGATCCTTGTGTTATCCCCCTCTCTGAATGGTTAGCTATTTTTATTATGCATTTTCAATAGGTGGTTTGAAGCACAACGTATTTGTCTGTTACTAACCACCCCCACGGGATTTGCAATGCTCTGTGTTACTAACAAAATTCCTGGGGCAATCAATATGTTCTGGAAGGATCACATGGAAAATGAGCTATGAATCAGGGGAAGGCAGCTAGCTAATACTGGGTGTGAACATTATAGCATGGCAGTTTGAGTACCAACTTTTTCTTCTTCTCTTTTTTACACAAGACAAGCAGCAATACTCCAGCATCACTGGGTGATAGTACAGGGGGAAATCAGTAATACTGCTTGCTATTTTTACAGTGAAACCTTTCAGTCACATGACTTTCACCCTGGACATTGTCTGTCATTTCCTCTTCGGGAAGCAAGTGTCGCAATCCTTCAAAAGAATGCAACTTCTCCACCAAGTGAAATGAACTGGTATTGCTATGTTCAAACATGCACAATTTTATGTTTAGATTTGAAATACATTTGAAATTAATTTTGCCTTTTCCTTGTTTTTGTTTTGAACACAAAAGCTATCAAACTCAACTTCTGATTCAACAAAGCTCTAACTAGACTCTTTCTTAAAAAAGGGGAAAAAAAGTGAGATTCTAAGAAAAGACAAGACAAAATGCATGGAAGCTGAATACAGCTTGTTGGCCATATGCTGCCACTCCAGATTTTAAAAGCAATTCAGAACCTGCCGCTTCACAAAAAGAATTAAGTTATTCTTTAAAAAGCTGAGAAGACTGAGGTAATCCCCGTTCATCTATGTTCTTGGAGGGTGGGTAGAGTAGAATTATAGCATTCAGAATTTGACATATACAAGAGATAATTCTAAGATAGCCAAATAATACTGTGAGTATTCATAACAATGATTTTACTATTAACTCCACTGCCACCAAGTGGCAGTGATTATACTTCTGTGTTTCGATGCAACATATACAAATGCATCCGTTTGCATAAATCTGTATGTTAATTCAAGCTGACATGAATATTTAAAAATAGCACACTAGCTAACATTAAAGCTGGGCTAAAACAAACCTGTGCATAAAATGATTTTGAGGGAGGGAGAACACAAGCAACTTATGCTTTAAACACCTTTTCCACATAAGCCAGCTTATAACCTTTCATCTAATTCACTCTCCTATATCTGACTTCCAAAAACATTTTGAAGTTGCCCTCTTCCTACCACTACAAAATATTTAGATAGTATTTGTTATCAAATACCCTTACAGCACTGCATCTGCCAACACTGGGGAAAGAGTTCTGGTTGAAAGAACAGGTGGTAAAACATATAGGGGACATTACTCAAATCAGTCTAGAAAATTCAAATACCTAAATATATTCTAGTTATTTGTTACCCAAATATATTCTAGTGTTATGGACTACATGACAAGACATATGCAGAGTTGCTTAAAGCAACATTTAGGCACTCAAAAAGAAAAAGAAAAACCAGAACACTTGGTAAGCAGGAAAGGGTATTAGCAAGAACACAAACAACACATTAATGAATAGCTACATCATTGACAAGTATCTGAATACAAAAACAGTTACATGGGTGTGACTGGTGCATTTGGTTTATGGAGGATTTCAGCTAAGTAAATGTTTAACAATGTAGTTGTTCTAGCAAACACTTAGAAAAATAAACCAGTTTGCTGTTTCCTTGCCTTTAAGGCAGAAATTGAAATGGAAACTACATTAACTTCTCAAATGCTTCTTGACCTCCACATTTTAAAAGTGAAAAGCCCTGATTCAGGCATTATCCTTGGACTTCAGCGGTCACTTGTTTTCCCAAGGAGCTGATGCTGTATTAGTACTACAAAATAATGTGATCCACACATTTAACAAGTCCCTTTAATCACACTAATTTCTACTGATGGCATGCAAGATATTACACGGCATGGGATTCTCCAAAAGTTTTCAAGGTCTTTCACTAGAACTTGATCAAGTTATTTCAGTTCCATGAAAAATGGAAATAAAAGAAATGTTGTAAGATGGTACATGGCAATTCCCATACAAAGACTGGGCAAGTGTGGCGGATATGTTTTCATGGAAGTCATGACTGTGTGAACTCCACACTGAGTATCTCAATTCGTGCTTTAAGGAACTGGGGTGTTTCTATATAGATAAAAAAGACCTCCCACACAATCACATGGCATGCAGCAGGCCTGAATTAGCACTATGTACTCACGGGTGTACTTTGACATACCAACAACACATTAGTTGCGTACTAGTTGCTGCAACTAAAGCAGTGGCTGCAATTGTACGAAACATTCCAAAGAATTCTTGCTTACTGTTTACAAGCAAGCATATGGATGACTGCTAATAATCCTCCCATCAGCAGGCACAGCTTCCATAATTGAGAACCCTAGAAGGCACCTCATACCCTTTCTACCAAATCAGGTTTTTGAAACAAAACCCTTGTGAATCCAGTCTAAGGATAATTTCATAATTTCACAGAGCCTGTTTTATAAGCAAGTGACTGCAGATTTCTTTTCTTTTTAAACTCTATGTTATCAGACAGTAAGATTTGAGAAATCTATAGTAAAGCAGCATGAGAATGTCGCCATTATTTTCTGCTTTCACATCGATGAACTAATAACTATTTCTTATGCATGCCCTGTGTTTTTTGATGCAGCTTTGTGTGTTAGGTTAGAACAAAAAATAGGTTTGCTTAGATGGGACTGAAATGCCAGAGGTAGTCTGTCTGTCCACACTCCAAAAATGTCTGTCTGAGACTGTTACTGCCTTAACCATAAAAGTGCCCTTGATGGCCTGCAGCTTATGCCACGCTCTGCTCCCAGTGTTCAGATCAATGGGACTTCTGACTTGCATGGAACACTGATCACAAATCTCAGCTGGTGGTACTGAAGCTCATTTTAGTATGAACTGCTGACAACAGACAGAACTACAGCTAGAGATATAGCTAGAGACAAATTACAAAACAGATATTATTTTGTAAAGCACTGCATGTATCATATGGGTATTAAGACTCAACCAGAAGACTCATAAGTATATCACAAAGCTGAACTTTATGTCTTTTGTAATTCAAAGATATACTCTAAACCATGTGCAATGGGGGTGTCGGGATGTTCTGACATGCTTATTTTATTTTAAAACATGGTGTGAGCGCACTATAACAATGGTGAGCGGAAGTGTGCCACTTACAAAAGACAAAATAAAATATATGAGTTTTTAAGGAAACAATGGCAATGGTTGCCTGAACTGCATGTAAAAACTAGCCTCATCAGCAAAATAATACCCCCAAAACAAAACTGAAATGCCCCAAAGCGGCAGGGCACCGCTGCACAGGAGTAGCACCCTTGCCTGACCTTTTATACAAGGCTAGAGGATGCCTAGGCTAGCGTGAGCCCAAGGCAAAAGCCTTGAAGACAAGCAACCCCTTAAAACTGCAGAGGTTGCCTGCGACATCACCACATCACAGGCAACATCCAACAGGTGCATGTGACACTTGGACAAATATATATATACACACTCAACAGCAGCTGAACAGTAAAGGGTAAGCTTACTGGTGTGTGTGTGTGGCGGGGGAGGGGAAGATAAGCTCCATCCAATTTCTGAAGAACAAAATCCATCAACGTGGTTAGAAAAATTGAGCTAGTTTCATTATCTGAAAAGACTGCAGGACAAATGGCTATGCAGTACCCGTTACTGTCTAGCATCCCTTTCGTAATTTCTGACCCTTACCATTTCAATATGTGACTATTTCATTCCAATAATGCAGTGGCCCAGAAATATGTCATCATGCGAGAGCCTTTGGTCATCCACATATTGCTGGACTACGACTCCTCACGCCTCTGCCTAGGGGCCATATTGGCTGAGGCTGAAGGGCCAGATTCCCCATCCCTGCCATAGGAAAAGGAAAAGGCTTATCACGGCAGGGCCTGAGATCCGACACACTACAATTTACTTTTTCTACTTTAGTGTTATCCTAATTCTCATTTAATGTTTAAGGTGGGGTGGATTAAAACAAGTTCCAACCACTAGTTGTGAGCATTTCTTATGCTCTGTGAGATGATGTCTGAACTGCTATAGATTTTTATTTTTCATCAGTCCAGTAGCGGAAAACAGATGGTTTGGTTCATCATGATTCAAACCAGGGCATTTAGTGGCATTGCACCAACTCCCTGCAACTTCCCCCGCACTACAAATTAGTGCCAGTCTTTGATTTTCAGCACTTACTAAAACATACCTTTTTCCAACAGACATTCCCAAGAAAGTAATCTTGTCCTTTGTACAATGCTTAGGAATATCTTTAATATAGATTCATAGACAGAGTTAGATAACTCCTTATAGACAAAGTGAACATATGGTTTAGATACAAAACACAACATTTGGAAATTATTGCATTAATCTCTGAATGAAATGAATGACAAAATAGACAGGTCTAAGTTACAGAGCAAATGAGCAATGCTACTGGCATTTAGTCCTTTCTAAAAACAGTACACAGATTAAAAAGTTCTTAGATTTAAACTTCATGTATGTGTACCATAATTAGCAAATATAATTAAATTGCCAACTGTACCAAGCAAAGGCTGAACTTTGGAAAACGTTCTAGCTCTAAGTATGAAAGTGCTTTAAGTTTCACTTTCCTTTCCAATAAAGAACATCTCTTGTTGGTTTGTCTCCAGAAAGCAAATGCGAACTTCAGCTTATCCCTTTCTGTTGCTAACAGATAAGCAGGAGTACAAAAAGGAAGACATATGCTGTGATCACATTTTGTCCATTATACTAACATCAATGGCCTAAACCTAAAGCATCAGGAACAACATATTAAACAGGAGGGTTGTAGGAATTACTCTTGAACTAAATTCTCCAAATGGCTAATTTACCATTTATCTAGCAACTGGGTTGAAGACTGCAGCTTTGATAAGCTTTGCCAGTCTGTGACACTGCATGCGCATGTGAATGCTAAGATCTAAGTCTATGTTAGGAAACTGCACACGGAAATCTTGCACACCTTTGTTACGTAGAGTGGTCACTATCCATAGGCACTTTGTTGCCTCTTATACAACTTAAATGTATTGAGGTGTAATCCTATGCTCAAGACACAGGACAGCTGGAGTGCTAGCTCCTACTTCAGAAATCAAGCTAAAGTTGGAGCTGGTACTCTAGCCTTGGAGTTCTTACTTCTTGTCCTTGCAGCAGGCATGGTTAGTTCCATGCTAGTGCGGCTCCTAAGTCTGCAATGGGTGTGTGTTCCGGGAAACAAGGAGGAATGAATTTCCACTGGGGTACAAGGAATCTGGTGGTGCTTCAGCATCCTTGTGAGTAGGAGCAAAAGACACAGCAGGAGAAACATGGAGGAAATCCTTGTCCCTGGCCACTGGATGCTGGTAATCCTAAATTAGGAGGGTTTGGGGAGTGCAACATGTTTTGATGGAAAGAATTTCTGCAGCACCCGGTCTGCCAAAGCCAGCATGGCTAAGCTATACAGGCTGTTCTAGGACTTATTTGTCGAAACATGACAGCTTCTTAGGGACTGTGTGTCAATAGTCCAAAACAAATATATGCACGCCTCTGTATGTTTTATAGTCCTATGTTCACGTGCATATGCTTCCATAATGTATTTTAAGGGTTTTATCTCTGTAAACGACTCAGACAGCTACAGTGACTGGGCAGTACAGAAATGTAATAAATGAAATGAAATGACTGGATATGAAGTTTGATAACAGAAAAGCAGGATAAAAATAATTTCAACTCTTGCTCGTATAATTACTTATGGTCTGAAACAACAGGACCGTCGTTTTGCTGTATCAACATTATAGTAAGTGACTGGAATACAGGTGCAAATGAAAGCAAGAAAAATAGGACAAGTTATTTTTTGAAATATGGTTTCATCCCAACATTTGTTTTACACAAATTAGCAATGCTTACTAAAGCTTAAATAACCCTCATGCTAACCCTAAGACCGGCTAAAGAAAAGGAAGAACTGTTGGGCACTATTCAGTTTCAAGAGCTTCCAAAACAAAGCTGGTTCTCAGTCAGAGCCTAAGAAAAATCAAATCAATTAAAATAGTACCATTTTAAACTCAGGAATTTGTGAGTTCTGGCAAGACAACTTTATTCATCAAATGTATATTTTTAAAAAGCAACCACAGGCTTATAACTAGGTCTTTCACCCAATAAGGAAAACTTTGCTTGTCGAATAATTTAGATAGTATATGCATAGTCATAGCAGGCATCTTAGAACAGACACTGATCTGGTTCTCACAATCATTTGCAGCCACAGTGGTTTAAATGGACCACCTTGGTTTGCAGCACATGCTGGTTATTCATTCCATAATCCAACCCCAGCT